AAGAAGAAAGAATGGGTATTGAGATCAGGGGCGGATTCAGCCAGCCCTACCCTCAAGTTTTTTTTTTAAAAAAATTATTAATATATAGACCTACAAAAATTGTTATTAACATATATACCTAGCCTATCCTCGAATTTAAAAAAAATGAGAATTATTATACATTATTTATCTAGGCCTACACAAAACTTGTTATATATATATATATATTCTAAACCCACGTCATATTAAAAGTTTAAAACTTTCTCAACTCTTCTTTTGGCTGCACCTGCTTTTTATGATTTTATCTCTAAAATTCTTGACTCTCTCATTCTCTTCCTCATGCTATTCAATATTAAAACTTTTAAGACTGAAATTGTTGAAACTTTAAAAACTCAAAATGTCACAATTAACTATGTTTTCTGTTTTATCAGTTTTAGGTATGTACATTGCTCATTTCAATTTAGTTTATTTTAGGGTTGAATCATACTTTATTTTTTAGAGGTTTTTTATTCTAATTTGAGAGGAAAAGACATAGATCTTGTGAGTTCATTTTGTGTTTTGTGTCTAAGAATGAACTTGATTTCCCAAATTAAAACTTTAACTATATTTTAAAAGATGTTATTCTTCTCCCTTCACCCACCATTTTCCTACATTTCAAACGTCACCATTCAGCTACTCAAAATAAATAAAGAAATTTAAGTTACTATCTATGTTTATATCAAGAATTTTTTTTTTAATTAATTCATATTAAAAGTCAACGTAATGTTGACTTAATTTAAGTTTTGGTTGACTTTAAGTTAGGTTAGGTCTGGTCAAAGTCATGAAAATTTATATTATAATCTTTGGAAGATAAAAAATAACCAAAAAACAATTTAAAGAAGGTTTTGCTCAAGGTTTAATTAACACATTTACTTAAAATTTTGTTTCTCATGAATTTATTCATATAGAAAAGTATTGCGTTATTGCATTCTTTTTTCTTATGTTCTTGATATTGTATTATTTTCTTTGCTTAAAGTTTCATGGTTTTTTAAAGTTTTTACTAGTTGTTTAACAAACAATGACGGAGCTGCAGAACCCCCCAAACAAAAATCCTGGATCCGCCACTGATTGAGATCTTTGTGCACTGGGATCAATAGAGGATAAGGCAGCCGTGACAGATTGAGGATGGAGAGAGCGAATAATACGAGTGAGCGGTCAATTTTTTAATGTAAAGAAATGAGGGTTTCATAATGTATATTGTATAGAGACGTGGTTTTGACAGTAAATCGATAGTTTTAGGATTATGTTAAAGTTGAATAAAGCATAATATAGTTTACAAAAAAAATTCAGTTTTATATTTATTTCACATTTTCTTGTTAGGGATATTTTAGACTTTACATAAAAAATTCTGATTCTCGGTTAGGTTGAAGGACTATTTCGCTGGTGAAAAAAAAAAGTGTCCTGAATTGTTATTGGAGGCAGAACTCAGGTTTACCTCCTTCCATGCATGAGTTTAACTTTTTATATATATACACACACAAAAGATGAAGAGGAAACATTAATAAATTCCTGTGAGCTTTGGCAGTAGGACTCTGGACACTGGTGCTCTCGATACCGACCAAACAACATTAATCTTTTTTCCGGCAAAATTAACCAGGTTCTCATGCACTTGTTTCATTACTTAATTTTTTTTAATGGTTTGTTCGAGTTATTTACTTTTCATGTATTTTTAATTTACTGATTTACGGTTGGGAGAAAATATTAACTATAAATGAAATGGAATGAGTTTGTAACTATATAATTTGTACGAGCATATATATATATATATGCAGAAGAAAGATTTCAAGCTCCAGATAATGGGTGGGAGAACATTGTTACCTGGTGTGCCAGCAAGTTTAGAGGTTCTAATATTTTTCAAGGTGATTCACCGCTTGCTTCTGGGGGCTGTGGTTTATTTTATATGGCAGGAACGGAATTTCTGGACCTTCAAGGGCAAAAGAAGGAGCTCGAACTGTGTAATTGGGCTGGTTTTGCGAGGAAGTTCGCTACCGCTTGATTAGGCTTACATTTAAGGATAATCTTCGGGTTCGCCAGGTGATGGGTGACTGGGATTTACCCGTGAGTTGTATCAAGTTGCGTTCCCCCTGACTTGGTATATTTTGAAGCTCTTTTCTCTGCTAATGTTGTTGGATGCGTTTTCTGGTGTTTGCTTGTTGCTTGGAGGAGTATCCCAACAGGCTGCCTTGTAAACTGGCATGTACAGTTTCTGGATTTTCTTCTGTTCTGGTGCCTTGTTTTGTTCCCCCCTTGGTTGAGAGGTTCGTGGTTGGGTCTGCTGGTTGTTTGGTTTTTTTTCTCCCCAGCTCCTTCTCTTGCGCTCTGCTGCTGGTGTGCTGTTTGTGTGCTTGTCTGTCCAACTGCTCCCGAAGATATTGTCTGCGCTGGGGATTTTTTCAGATTGCTAAGTGCTGTAGCCAGTGTTCTCTCTCTCTTTTTTTTTTTTTTTTTTTTTTTTTTTTTTTTTTTTTTTTGCAGCTGTGGTTCTGGGTTTCCTTCTGTATGCGGTTGCAATCCTTGCTGGTTTTTTACTTTTGGGCTTCTGGGTTTTGCGCTCTTTCTTGGTGGCTGTTTTATTTGTGTACAGCATGCGCAGTTTTTTTTGGCTCTCCTGGAGTCCTGCAATGTTTATTTGTGCTGCTGGTCTTTTTTGTATAGACCTCTTTGCGGCTAGTTAGGTGGCTGTTTTGGACTGTAAATTCGTGCCTTCCTCTTGTTTTTGTTTGGCTTGGTTGCTTGGGCTTGTCCAAGGAAAGGATCCTCTTCTTGGGGATTCATTATTTTATTCTTTATCTATTACCTTTACCCAAATAATATATATACATGTTCACCTTCATAATGTGTTTCCCTTCTTATCCGCATATTCAATTATTAGAATAAAAAATAATTACAGACGATTAAACCACTGGGGTCATGTTCAGTTGGTTAAAGAGAAAAAATAAAAGAAAAAAGATATAAAAAATAAAATTAATTACTGCGGTGTTGTTGGCCATTCGCTGCTGACAATTGTATGTGGTGGCTATCTGACAACTTTCTCCATATGTTTTTTATTTTTAATTTATATGATTAATATTAATCGTTTAATTATTATTATAATAACAGAAGAAATTTTGGAAGCAAGCACGATTAGCCCCCTAAAGCCAGGAACCTATTTTTTATCATCAACCTTTTAGTGAAACCGATCTGAACACACGCCTTTACTTTAGCTGTATGCCTGTGAATTCACGTGGTCACGTGCTTCATGGATATTCTCTTAAAGCAATGTTGCTTCTTTAACAATTTTTAATTTACAGATTAAAGAAAGAGTGAAGACTATAGTTATGTTATGACTGACGTTAATTAATTATGGTGATCCATCTAGTGACAGTGGGACGCTCGCTGTCATATATATATATATATATATATATATATATATTATGTTGCTCGTTCAAGTCCCTGCCATGACCGGTGCAAGTAATTTTCCTGCAACAGTAGTCATGATTGATTTTTAATTTATCCTTAAACATGCATTTTGACAAGGAGTTTGATGTTCAAATTCAATAGCGCACATAATTGTTTCGAGAAGATGCCAAGTTTAAAGAGAAAGAAAATTAGGATTCAAAAGCAAAATTACACTACAAAAGTAGACTACAAGTATCAATAAATCACACACTGGTAAAATACAACATATGGTTTGTATGACAGTGAGGAGTAGGAGTACAACTGCCGCAAAGAGTTCCTGTCCCTCTCCATGGATTCATGAAATAAACTCTTCTTAAAATTGCCATTGTTTTGTTCCAAGGATTATTATAGTGTTCTTTCAGTTCCTCACTGACGCAGCGAGTTAGCGTGATTAAACAAGGTTAGCACTCGACTACATTTTTAGAATTGATAACACAAGTCCCAATTCAGAAGCTTAAACTTTGAAATCTGAAGAAAATTCTGAATAATGTATTGAATAACATCCAAAACGAAAAATAAGTCTATATAGGGTGACAACCAACCCTAATAAGACTCCTAATAACAAAAGGAAACAAAAACTAAATTAATTAAAACAAGAAAACCCGAAATAAAATAGAAAAAAAGGTGCAAACAACTAAAATAGCCTTGAAATACGCTAAAATAGTGGATTTTGACCTTGAAAATGACCTCCAACTAGCTAAATCTAGTTATGTCAACGAGCTCGAAATAAGCTTTTCAATAGTATCTTACAAGCCCCGTAACTCTTCTCGGATCAAAAGTTGTGGCTGTTTAAATGTGACATGCACATTTAGAGTCTTTGAGCTTTACACATGGACTTTTGATGTTCAGCCCGTTCCATGAATTCATCCATCGGATGTTCTACGTCACTCGCACATGTTATAGTAAGAGGATGGGCTTACACTAATACAACGACAAAGTTTGTAAACATATTCACTGTTGAAGCAATTTTGCCCACATAGTTGAAAATAATTCCATTTCTAACAAGCAAATCCACATCTTGTTCAGTATCTATAAGGAAATCCGTTAGTTTAATGTAACCGCAAACATGGGTATCCCATGGATAATGACACTGCTCCAAAGCCATAACAATTATAAGTAGACATTCAGCCGAATCGTTTATTTGTAAATGTGGTAGACTCATGAACACTTGTTAAACCTTAATAATTTGTCATCTCCTTTAGTTTGCTTAAACTTCACTCATGACTCATACAACTTCATTGTACATGGTAAATCTTTGATCCATCTGTTGTTTCGACCTAATCTTAGGTAATTTTCACTTAGAGTACTTCTTCTCCAATTGGTGAAATGTTTAACTGACAACTGAGGAGTTAATAGAATCAATCCTGAATTTCATAACATTAGGGTTTATATATATGATAGTGGTTTAAAAACCTAAGAGATGATTATGGTAAATGATTAAACATATATAAAAAGTGAATAAAATATAAATAGCAAGACTTTATTATTAATTATTAAATCGACAAAGCGCTTCAAATGCGACATAATTAATTAATCTAAAACATCTATTTGCGGAAAGAATTCACGGCACTTATTAAAGTGAGTAGCAAGCCTACAACAGCCGCAACAGTTGCTGTACCTCTCCAACGGTCTTTGAAATACACACTTTTCAAGGTTGCCTTTGCACGGTTCGAAGGAACATCATAGTGTGCTTTGAGTGCCTCATGAATCTTATTGTAATAATGTCTTTTTATAGGCATATGTGAGCAAAGTTTGCTAAACAAACTTACTAATGCCATTTTCTCGCCCAGATAATTGGAAATAATTCCCTCCTTAACAAGCAAATCCACATCGCTTTTAGTATCGATAAGAGAGTCTAGTAGTCCAACATAATCACAAACAGGAGTATTATCTACATAATGACATTGCTCCAAAGCCATTATGTTCCGAAGTATAGTTTCTGTCTCATCGTAAACTTTTAAATTTGGTATTCTCAACTCATCTACTTCAAATTTTATATCAAGTAAGCACTGATCCGTAGTCTTAAATTTCACTCCTGATTCATGTAGCTTCGCCGCACAAGGTAAATCAATTTCAGAATATTCATGATCGTCAAATTCTTGGTCTAGATAGCTTTTCACTAGAGCCCTTCTCCGCAAATCAGTGAAATGTTTAAACTCTTTTTGGTCAGGTACACTATCAAACATCTGATCCCAAAAGAATTTAAGACAAAGATAAATGAAGGAAGGGCTACTGACAACTAACTTGTATAATCCCTCTAGTAAAAAATATGGAAGTTGATTTTCAAGTAATTGCAAGTCCAACTTTAAAGCAATTTTTTCTGCTGGTATAACTAACAGAAAGTCACTTTCATCTTCCTCAAAATTTCTCAAGAGGAGCTCTATGATAAAAATAGCATCATGTAGAATCATCATTACATACTCACGACTCTGAAGCTTACAGGTTTCTGCATAACAATTTCGTATCTGTTGCTCGTGGTCTCTGACGAAGGCTAAAACTTGCTCATGTTTCTTACAAGTTGTTCGTTTGAAAAACGCCCTTACATATCTCCCTTTTTGCTTTTCCATGTCTTCTAATTCTTTTTTACCATAGTGAAAAGGGCCAATTGAAATTACTTGAGGAGTGTAGGCTTCTTCATTGACTTTACGAATACGTTTAGGGACTCTATAAATACAACACTCAGGACCAGGCTCCAAGTCTCCCTTAATGTTAATCATCCAGTCTTTGTACTCATCCTCATAGACCTCTTCGTTTATGGAAGAATTCATCTCCATGTTCATATTGCAATACACCCTAGTTAATAATATAACAGACAATGATAAAATTAAACCTCAGATCATTTTGTCTTTGATTACAAGAAATATTATTCAAAATTAATATTATGAATATATAAAATAAGACAAATTGTGCATGAAGTTTCACTGTTTTGATTATCAATTATATATAGTTAGAAAAAGTAATGAAACTCGTTGGAAGTTAGAAAAAGTAATGAAACTCATTTCTTCCAACAGAACATCAGTAAATTAAAAATAACTGGAACAAATCATTAAAAAAAATAAAGTAACGAAACAAGTGCATGGGAACCTGGATAATTTTGCCGGAAAAAAGGTAGTTGTCTGGTCGGTATTGAGAGCACCAGTGTCCAGAGTCCTACCGCCAAAGCTCAAAGGAATTTATTAATGTTTATGGTATCTCCCCAGCTAGTCGCTCTCGCTCCCTCTCTCTTTGAAATGTGGTTTCCTCTTCGTGTTATATATGTGGTGGCTATCTGATAACTTACTTCATATGTTTTTTTTTTTAATTATTATTATAATAACAGAAGAAATCATGGAAGCAAGCAAGATTAGCCCCCAAACCTTTTAATTACACCGATCTGAACAAAGTCACAAACGCCTTAACTTTAGCTGTATGCCTGTGAATTCACGTGGTCACGTGCTTCATGGATGTTCTCTTAACGCACATGTTGCCTATTTAACAATTTCTAATTTATAGATTAAAGAAAGAGTAAAGACTATATTTATGACTGACGTTAATTAATAAAGTGGTGATCCATCTACTGACAATGGGATATATATCAAGATTCCTCCTTCAAATTGAGTTTATTAAAGCAATCCTAAACACAAGATTCCTTTGGAGTATGCAGAGCTAGTTTGATCCATCTGCATTCTCAAAAACAGGAAGTAATCAAGATTGGCAGCTATAATTAAATAGGGAACAATATATATGGAAAGAGTTACAGAAATCTGCCATTATATACAATGTAGAGTCCAGGTTGGCGATCCTTGTGATCTGCTACCTCAGCATAGACAAACACACTTTAGAGATAAAACATAAAATTACAAGAAGTAATCTGCCATTTTTTATTTTTTTATTTATTTTTTTCTTCTGTTCTGCTTATTATGACTATGATTGTTTAGTTGAGATGTAAGATGAATTTGATTATGGAGTTGAGATGGAGGATGAATTTTGAATGTGGTGTTAAGATGGGGGATGAATTCAATTGTGTTTGAACTAGTGGGAGGTGATTTTTTCTAGCGAATCTGGATGAATTTGGGTTAGAGTTTGAATTAATAGCAGTTGAAAGTTTCTGCAAATCTTGGTTGAATGAAAGACTGCAGTAGTCATTCGCTCGAATAGTTCATGTGCATCCCCTTAAGCATCCGTAAAAGAGCTACAATTCTGATTTTTTACCAAACGCTTCTCCTTCAACTGCAACTTTCGCTTCATCTCTTTAAGATGCAAATATTTGTGAAATCCTTTTTGCAAGATTTTTGTGAAATCAGTTTTGTAAGACTTCCGTAAATTTTATTGCAATAAAGATTAAGTTTAACTTTTTTATTAATTTGAGAATAATTTTTTATTAATTGAAGTTTTTTTAATAATGGTGGTTTTATGGATTAATTCAAAGTTAATGATGAATAATGAAGATGATTTTGAATATGTATTATTTAGATAATTATTAATAAAAGTGAAAAAGACATTTCATTGGTCAGTCAAATTTTAATAAATAATAAAATTTAAGTCAAATAGAAAAGGGCATTTTTGTCTTTACAGTAAAATAGTTACAGATTTTACTAACAAAACATAACGGTGGGTGAGAAAATGTCATTTTTAAACTTAACGGTGTGGAAAGGTTGTTTCACAAAACCTTGGGTGGGAAAATGTTGTTCTCCCTTGATTCAACAACCAACCGTGCCTATTCATCTCATCAGTGCCAGCAGCGGTGTTGTTGGACATTCGTTCCTGACACGATTATATGTGGTGGGTATCTGACAACCTACTTCTTATGTTTTTTATTTTTAATTCATATGATTAATATTAATTATTATTATCTTAACAGAAGAAATTTTGGAACCAAGCAAGATTAGCCCCGAAAGTTAGGAACCTTTTTTTATCACCAACCTCGTAATTACACCGATCCGAACAAAAGGCTTTAGTTGTATGCCTGTGAATTCAAGTGTTGCCAATTTCACAATTTCTAATGGGGATCACTATACTAACAAACTTTCCCTCACAAACATAATGTGATAGTTGATAATTGGTTTTGGATGAATTTTTTTATCTAATGAATTCATCAGAAACTAATTAGCAATTATTACATTAGGTTTGTGAGAGAAAGTTTGCAAGATTTATTTATCAACCTATCTTTATTGATTTCTAATTCACAGATTAAAGAAAAACTGTGGTTATGGTTGATGTTAATTAATTTAGTGGGTGACTCAAGTAGATGACAAATCCCGAAGAAGAGCATCAAAGTTCCCTAGTTCAATGAGATTAAAGTTAGCCACAAGTGTCATGTTATAACTTTAAAATGAAATAAGATTCCTCAGTTATGTCACAACATGAAATTTTTAGTAGACAAAAAAAATATATATTACAGAATAGTTACGTCGAATTATCTTCTAATTATAAAATATTAATTGAATAAAATTTTCCCCCACATTGATCCATCTAGTGACAATGGAAATTTATAAACGTTCATTGCCGTATATATATCAAGATTCCTCTATTTATTTAAGGAATCCTCAGCACAAGATTCCTTTCGAGAGTGTAGATTAAGGTTATGTCTGATCCATATGCATCCATCAACTACAAGTTGGCCTTGTCCAATTTTTATTCACTTTCAAGAGGAATAGGCTTACATTTTAATTATCAGTTGTTAACCACCATAGACCTAAACAATATTATATTTAAGACCAACTATATAATATGTTTAATTAGCAAGAGCATTTTAAAATGCCAGGTAACAACGTAGTATCTGCATGTAGTACCAACTCTTTGCATTGATTTTTTTAATAATCATTTTTCAAAGCTCAGAGGCTTCTAATTAACTTATCCCACGGTCGAGAACATATGTATATAATATCAAATCCTGAAACCTTTATATTAAGCCATTATATCAAAACGCTGAGTTTTTGATGCTCTAGTTTACTATTTTGCAAAATACACCCCATATTCATTTTACAAACCAACATGTATCATTTCTAATTCTTACAAAAACATCCCGTTATACTAACAAGACTGAATCATATATTTCATATAAATTATCCTTTACATGTTACGAATAACGTAGTAAGACTTGCTGAAATTGGTTTAGCCTTGCAATTTATTTCTTGGTGGAAAACAAGAACTGACCTATATTATAGTGATTTTGTAATGCATTTCCAAGAAATTGGATAGCCTAACTTCCAAATGAAATTGTACATTTTGATTTGTCAGAATTTGTAATTGAATTATGGAACTACGGAACCTCGCTACTTTTCTTCAGGATTTGTCATCTACTTGAGTCACTGATGTGGCCTTTTAACATACTCATTTTAATTAACATATTCTAGTATTTCTTTAATCTATAATTAAATGAGAAACCCTGGCCCATGCTGGCTCCGTCACTGTGTATATACAGTTGTTTTCCTTCATAATGTGTTTGTCTTGTAGCATATTCCAATCTAACTGTTTAAAAGAAAGATTATCCTTAAATCACTAGCTAGCTAGGGTCAAGTTCAATTGAAAGTCAAACAGATAGAGGAAAGGCATGTGGAAAGAGTGATAAAATAAGATTCCACTGTTATATCAACATGAAATCTTTAATATTATAGAAAGAAATGTATTACATAATAATTAGGTAAACTTTGTCTTTGATTCTAAAATATTTGATAAAAGAAAGCCTCCTACATGGATCCATCCAATAACAACGGAAATTTTAAACACTCCCCGTCGTATATATCAAGCTTAAGCTTTTAAGTGGGATGATAATTTAACATGGTATTAAAGACAAAGGTCTCAAGTTCAAATCCCCACATACAACCTGGATACGAAAAAAAAAAAGACCAAGTTTGATGATAAGGGTCTATTAGTCCAATATATGTTGAGCCCTCACCAATAAGCTTAAGCTTTTAGATGGGATGGTAACTTAGCAGTAACAAGGTGGTGTTTGCATCAACTTTTAGCGTTGACTTTTTTCTTTATATAATTATTTTTCATAGTTTATAGACTTTTAATTAACTTATCCTACGGTTGAGAACACATGTAATATCCAATACTTAAACCTAGTTCAGTAGTTGAGCGAGAGATTATAGTTAGCAACTATTGTCATGTTATAACGTTAAAATGAAATATATAAAATCATGTGAGGAAAAAAAAAAAAAAAAAAGCAATGATGAAATAAGATTCTACGGTTATATCACATCATGAAATATTTAATATATAGAAAAGAAATACATTACAGAATAGTTACGTCAAATTGTCTTCTAATTATAAAATATTAATTGGATAAAATGTTTCCCCACATTGATCCATCTAGTGATAATGGAAATCTATAAACATTCATTGCCGTATATATATCAAGATTCCTCTACTTATTTAAGGAATCCTTAGCGCAGGATTCTTTCGAGAATGCAGATTAAGGTTATGTTTGATCCATCTGGATCCATCAACAACGAGATGGCCTTGTCCAATTTTTATTGACTTTATGTTGTTTGATCCAATACAATAGTTTATGTAGTATTTCGGTGGAGACTACGTCGGAGTTGTGTCGTCTTGCAGTACAAATAGATGACAAAATAATACTTAAATGTTGGTGAGAGAGAACAATTATATATATAACATTAACCTATAATAAAATTGTTTACAATTATGGAACACACTCCCATTAGCAACACCTTTTATCATTATAATTTCTTTTTTCTATTTTTTAAGATTTATATTCTTTCAATTTATACAAAGTTGAGGGTATTAGACAATATTTGATCACTTGTGGAGATGAATGAGAATTAGA